TCCTCAATCTGGTTTAATATAATTCTTTGAACATTTGGTCTGATTCTTTTCCAGCTGAAATATATTGAAGCAATCCAGAAAAGTTATTTGTTGTTTGCCTCGATGTTTTTTACTCTCGTCTACTTTGGTTTCGTGCTTTAATGTCATCTGATTTTGAAATAGATGAACGTGTGCCAAGTGAGCTGAAGAAGGCTATCATGCAAGCTCGAACTGATAAGAAGCTTACCCAGGCTCAACTTGCTCAAGTATCCATCTCTCTCTCCCAATCTCTCCCTCTCTCTCTCTCCCCCCCCTCTCACACACATATGTGTACACAATTACTGATGACAATCTCGGGGTTATTTGCAGATCATCAATGAGAAGCCTCAAGTGATCCAAGAGTATGAATCTGGGAAGGCGATTCCAAATCAGCAGGTGATTACCAAGTTGGAGAGAGCTCTTGGAGCGAAACTGCGTGGAAAGAAGTAAGGGAGCCTGGAAAGAAAAAGAAGCCGAGCTGCGATATGAATTTAAGTTTGAACAGATCTGCCGCGCTGCGATCTGTAGTTAAAGTTTGAATTAATGCGCTGCGCCTCATTAAGTAGTTATCTTTCAAAGGTCGTGTGTTTGATGTAGAAAGTACCGTTGTATTTCCTAATAATATTTCTTCAAATGACGAGTTTGCAAACAATTTCAGCCAAGTATCTACATGCTCCTACCGTTACCATAGCACTGGGTATTGCTGCCCCTCATCCGCCTCATCACATTTGGTACTCGCTCGGCAATGTGCCGTCCAAATGTCAACTCAATGCTTGTAGGGGGCAAGGAAGTCATGCCTTGCTATTTCAGTAGCTCTGTTTCGAAATTTTCAATGGTTAAATGCAATATCTTTGTTGGTGGTGTCTTGCCCAAAATCCGATTCAGCCCGGACAGTTGAGCTGTGTTGGTTCGAGCCAAATCTCTCGCCTAGCTCATCGAGTTCGAGTTCGAGTTCGCCATCGTCCCTTCCAACCAATCGATCACGATACACAATAGCCTCTCCTCGCCAAAACCCTACACAATGTGGAAGGCACATGGTCAAGACTCTGATACACAATGTTTTTATTTATTTTTCCTTCTAAAAAGAGGGACAATTGGTGGCAAGTCATTGTTATCCATTCCTTCCAGGGTTGGAGAGGCTACGAAGAATTTCACATTGCCCGTGATCATAGTTAAATAGACCCACTAGCTATAAGAGTATCTAACCCGGAATCTCTTTCAATTTTTTTTGTTTATTGGGAGCCGCAATTTTTTTTTTTTTAACAAACGATATTGTCTACGTTAAGTGAAGGGGTGAGTTTAGTCTCGCAATTGACTAGCAATAATGTGGTTTAAATTCGTCTTTAGCGAGAATCGAATCTAAGACCTCTCATTTACAAATGAAAAAGAATATCATTATACTGTAATACTAAATGACAACTGCAACTCTTAATACAATAGATATTTACACCAATGGTTTTTAGTTTTTGTGGAACCTTATCTGTAGTGGAATTTTTTCGTGCAGACAAAGAAAAGAGATATTGATGAATATTTCAGCTTCGATTACAAAATGCTACAAACCGACATCGACAATTTTGACCCACAGGGCAAAAGAGGCTCAGAGATAAACAAATATCAATGATATCGAAAATATCGATAGTCCAAAAACACGAAAATTTCAATGGAAATATCGGGATATTATAGGTATCGATAAAAATTGAATAAAAACCATGGAAATTGTAAGAAAAACTTGGAAATTTTTATTGAAACTTTGATGTTTATTTAGTCAATTATCTATTAGTTTATCATAAAAAATTGGAAGGAAATGCATTGCATGATAGATATAATTGATTTAAGTTGATTATATAACGAGCTGACAAACATTGTGAGTGTAGAAAATATGTAGTAATTAATGAAAGAAGTTTAAACATACTATAATCATTTATATATAATGAATTAGTACAATATTTTAGACTTTATACATTGCATGGTAAGATACATGAGTGACTTAGTAAGGTCTAAAATATCAATGATATTGGAAATATTGGTAGCCCAAACAAATATTAGTAGTCAAAAAGTACGAAAATTTCGATAAAAAGATATTATTGATATTTTAGACAATGGAGATAAATACAACCCCAACCCTGGCGTGCAGCCTAAAGCCATTTTGCACGCCTCCAGAGCAACCAAACCAGCATCATCCCTAGAAAACCCGGAAATCCCCAACACCCCCCTCCCTCACCCGATCGCCATGTCAGGAGGACCCATCTCGCAGGACTGGGAGCCCGTCGTCATCAGGAAGAAGGCACCCAACGCCGCCGCCAAGAAAGATGAGAAAGCAGTCAACGCCGCTCGCCGCTCCGGAGCTGAGATCGAAACCCTCAAGAAAGGTTTTGTGTCGTCCTTCCTTGTTCCTTGCTTTCCCCTTCTCCGTCTCTTTTATTCTTTGGTATTGATTTCTTTTTGTTGTTGATTAAGCGAAAATAAATTGGAACCCTCGAAATGATTTCAAAATCTATCAACATAAATGATTTCAAAATCTCAAAGGGGTTTAAAATTAAGGAAAATCAAATTTTAAAAATTGAAACTTGAATGCGTTACCTTTAATTTTTGGGTTGGATTTTTGCACTCGTTGAAGTTTTAATTTGCTATTCTTTTATGTATCTTATCCGTTATATATAGCCGTATAGAGCATGGTTCCTGTTTGTAAAAGCATAGAAAACAAGGTAGCAAATTTTTGGCATATGGGGCAGCTGCTGATTCACTGTTCCGGCTCGGTGAATCATAAAGTTACTTTATTGTGTTGGTTGGATATTGCATTTTATAATTTCGAAGTTGCAATTCTAATAGCTACTTTGTTAATCTTTGCAGCTACTGCTGGGACAAATAAAGCTGCCTCCAGCAGCACTACTTTGAACACGAGGAAGCTTGACGAGGAAACAGAGAACCTTGCTCGTGAGTTTCTATCGTTATAATTGTTTCTTAGTTTGCAACTGTTGTGAAACTGTTTGGGTTGGCTTAAGGAAGTAAATAGATCCTTTTACACATTAGTCGGTTTTTTCTTCTAAGAGGGTGAACCTTGGCGCAATTGTATGGTTTGTTCCATTGCAAATTGAGGTCATGGGTTTGAAATGGGAAACAACCTCTTTACAAGTGTGTTGTGGCTGTATGCCGTTTGTACTCCAAAGATCCTGCAATTGTGGGAGCACTAGGATGCGCCATCTGGCCTATTGTTTCTTTTGCCAAGCTAGTTGCATGGTTCATTCCATCATATGTATAATGTGTTTATGTACTGCTCCTTGAATCCTCTTTATTTTGATGTGAAATCGGACTTTGGAGTTGAACCCCCCAGGGTCCCTCTTCTCTATCCTTTTTTCCTCCAATAATATTGCTATCTTGATATGAGTGTTGCATCGAGGAATGGGGATGGGAGGATGAGAGTTCATGGCAGGGTGCCCGGATGCTTTTCAGTGGTTCATTGGAGCTAACGGGCTATAGCCAAACTTAGAGTCTAAAACAATAAAGTCCTTTGCTTCACAGATCCCTTTTGCTTATTGCTGTATATGTTGCTCTGATTTTTCAACATCGGTTGTCCTTTCTAGTAGCCAACATTTAGTTCATGTGTTTATTGTTGTATGTCTTGCTGAGATTTTTTTCTTTTCTTTTTCTCATATGTACTAGTGGTTTTCCAAGATTCTCTTCGTTGTATGTTTGCTTTCTCTGAAGTTTTCCTTACTCTTGCCCTCGCCCACCTTAACATGTGTGGTTTGGACATATGCTATGTAGTTATATTAACGTACATGTGTGCTTGTCCTTGCATACTCTTCCCTCCACAATTCCAGCCAGCACTTGGGCCCCTCAATCTGATTTAATATATATTCTTTGAATCTTATGTTCCGGTTCTTTTCCAGCTGAAATATATTGAAGCAACCTTGCAAAATTATTTATTTGTTGTTTGCCTGGATGTTTTGCTCTTTCTATTATTTGGTCTCGTGCTTTAATATCATCTGATTTTGAAATAGATGACCGGGTGCCAAGTGAGCTGAAAAAAGCGATCATGCAAGCTCGAACTGATAAGAAGCTTACCCAGGCTCAACTTGCTCAGGTATCTATATATACACACTCTCTCTCTCTCTCTCACTCACACACACACACACACACACACACACGTACACAATGTACTGGTGACGATCTCGGGGTTATTTGCAGATCATCAATGAGAAGCCTCAAGTGATCCAAGAGTATGAATCTGGGAAGGCGATCCCAAATCAGCAGGTGATTACCAAGTTGGAGAGAGCTCTTGGAGCGAAGCTGCGCGGAAAAAAGTAAGGAAGCCTGGAAAGAAAAGGAAAGCCGAGCGAGCGATATGAATTTAAGTTTGAACTGATCTGTTGCACTGCAATCTGTAGTTGAAGTTTGGGCTAATGCGCTGCACCTCATTTTGTAATCTTTCAAAGGTCGTGTTTCTGGTGTAGAAAGTACCTTGTGTTTTCTAAAAATAATTCCTCAAATGACGAGTCTGCAAACAATGTGCGGTCCAAATGTGTTCAACTCAATGCTAACTCACACTCAAGATCGTTATCTATATTTAGAACTCGTTTGATAGAGAGAACTACTATATTAAAGGCATTTTGGGTAACTTTCAAATCTCTATTTTTTGGGGATTAGTAAGGATATATTTTCTTTGAGTAACTTTTAATTTGGACAAAATATGAAAATTTTCTTTCATTTCTTCCTTCAAAATGCCTTCAATGTCGTGAATAATTGTATCCAAATTAGTCATTCCTATTCGACTAGGCCTTAATATCTTAATCAATCAATTCGTATGTATAAAGAGTAAAGACTGATAACCGCCAGATACAAGCAGTCACAATTAATAATAACCACTGGCTTTACCTCTCTCTTCTATGGATTAATTAAATCCATTAAATCCAAACTCAAAAGTGCATACAACACTGATAAATATAATTTTTTTTAATTTCTTGCGTCTCTTTCTTGTTTTATTTATTCAATCTGATAACTGAATTTTTAAATAGATGTGAAAAACTTAAAATAGTGTAAAAATTAGCTCACTGTATGAAACACCATGAAATGACCAACATTAAACAAAAGAGACCTGCACAAACAACTTAAACAAGACAAATAACATTACAGTACTGGATATGGAACCATTGACTTGACCCTATGAAGGCGGAACCCACCACTTCTTCTTTGTCCCGCCGCCATCAACCACCACCACCACCACTACCTGTCAAAACTCAGGGGCCGGTAGATCCTCATCAGACGGCGGAGACAACACCCACTCTCCGCTGCTCTTATCAAGCACCATGCCTCTGTTCTTCTCCACCCACCACACCGCCGGCACATGACACTCCTCCTTGAGAAAATCACAAGACTTGTTCACCAACGCCACGCTCCTCTTCACCCTCAGATCAAACTCCCCTTCCTCCCCGTTCCACCCCGCCACCACATGCAGAATCCCCTCCAAGTTATGCCAGTCGCTCGGATTCTTCGACTCCTTCAAGAACGGTGACTTCCTCGTATCAATCAAAAGCTCCGTCCCGACCTTCCGGTACCCCATTACATGGACCGGATAGTGCGGAATGACATCAATGGTGTTCTTAATATGCAGTATCTTCAGATTCGGGTGCGTCTCAATCCGTCTTTTCAGTGCCTTGTTTCCGATATGTGGACAACCAAATACAAAAACCGCAATTGGGATATCGGATACCCCATTTTCGGCCAAATCGAAAGCGCTCAAAACCGACAAACTCGCACCGAGACTGTGTCCTGTCATGGTTATGCTCAGCTTCTCGTCCTTGTACTTGTTCCTCAGCTCGTTTATTTTTGTCACAAGTTGGACTCTGGCGCTTGTTTTCGTAAACGGGGACTTCGGGTCGTTGGAAATGTACATTGTAAGCCAACCCCTCATGACTTTCGGCACTTTTTCGTCATCTTCATCGTCATCCTTGTCATCGTGATTTTGATGACCATTCGCTAGGCTGGCATGAGAAGAACCTAAAATGATCTCCGCGGACTCTAGCTCAGCTCCCATCACATTAATCCACTCGTAGTTTCTAATCGTGCCGCGCCATGCGACGTAGATTTCACGTCGACCGATGACTTTGCTGACTTCATCGGTGGTGACGGCGATGTAGCCGATCCAGTTAGACTCCCGATCCCACGACTCGCGGGACTTGGATTTGAGAAGCAAGGCTTCGGGGACGCTGACTTGGGCGGTGGCGTAGAGGAAGCAAGAGACTTGGTAGTTGGCGGCGTCTTGGAGCATGACCTTGTCGAAGAAGGAGTGTTTGCCATAGCGGCTGGATCCGCAGTACTTGGAGTTTTGGTCGTTGTTGAAGGCGTCGTAGGTGGCCTGGCAGAAGTTGCCGCAGCGGAGGATGAGGGTTCGGAGATTGAGGTCTAGAGGGTCCAAGAGGCAATCCCAGTTGTTTGAGCCTAGAAGCTCTGACCATGCAGCAGCTGCTGGATGATCAGCTGTTTGGTAAGTGGCCATGGACGTCGTAGGGAGAGTATGGCTTGTGGTTTTTGTATGTTTAGCATTATTGTTGCCCATCTTTCATGTGTGGAAATCTAGCCGATCGAGTGGTATTATATCATATATCAAGAATCCATGAGAGCAGCAAATGTACGTACCTAGACAATACTACTTAGAAATTATTATTTTTACTGAGTCTAAGGTACCAACTGGTAATTAAAAACTAAAGTAAGTACAAGTTGTAATATAAGTCAAAAGTCACCTCCCTCAGGAGGGCTGCAATTCACCTTCGTCGACCCTTCCTACTAGTCAAGCCCATTGGAAAGGAAGTTTTGATGAACCAAATGTTGGATTTGGGATAACCTACCCGTGGCTTTTGCAAGTGGGAAGAAGACCCTTGTTAGTCAAGAAAATGACTTTAACGTCACAATTAAATATGGTTGGATGCTGCATGCCAATTCTTGAACGGCCTTAAGTGAGGTTTTTATAAGTTGAAATTTTGAAATCTAAGTAATGGACAGACAAAAATAAGGTGGTAGCAAATTTTTTCCATTCGGGTAGCTGTTGGTTCACTGTTCCAGCTCAATTATCTTGTTTGATTTATATTAGCTTGTAGCTAATGGGGTTTATCTAATGATTAATGTTAGGGAAACTAAATTTGTAGACAAAATTTTGAAAATTAAAGGACACAAAAGTTAATGATTGATTTATTACTAAAACGTTAATAAACGTGCTCATTTATATTGGTGACGCATCATTTAATTTGCAAATTTTATCTTTAAATTTAGTCTCTCTAACGTTACCCTTTTCTAATTTGTTTGTGCGAATGATTCTCACCATGTGCATTGGTTCTCGTAGTCATTGTCGGGCTCGATAATCTTAATGTTCTTCCTTTTCTAATGGCATTTCGGTTGTCGATGTGTATGTGTTTGGGCCCAAAATAATATTATTGGGCCAAGCGAAGGTTTATGTTCGGTCCAAAGTTTTTCCAAGAGTACTATGGGCTACCTAGTCAGGTTGGTCGAGTCCTATTGCAAGAAGGATTGATCTAGATAAGAGTGAATGGGCCAAGTTCTAGTATGATAAGGAGTATTATTGGAATGAGGATGCCGGGATTTGAGAAGTGAATGGCCGGATAAAGAGCTTGGTTTAGGGTCCTAGTGGAGGTAAGATTGGCCGAGACTTGGTTAGATTAGGATAAAGAATCCTAATCCGAGTATAGTCCTGGTTCGGCCATGATGAGATTGGCTGCTATAAATAAGAAAGGGGTGCATCATTCTAAGCCTCTCCAACTTAGCAGACAAACTGCCTTGTGCAAACTCTTGCTCTATGTGAAACCTCTCAACAATCTTGAGATTTTTATTTTCTTTTTCGCCAACACATCTTCAGTTTGGATAAACAGCAATGTGAAGGCAATCGGCGAACACCTTCAGTTTGGATAAACGACATTGTTGCCGTAGAATCAATCTATCGCGAAGCACCTTCAATTTGGATAAACAGCACTACGTCAAGGCCGACTGATTATCTATCCAAGTCTCGGTCGAGAAGGATTTTGAATCCTTATTGGCAGAGGTCATCTCATTAGCCTTTTAGGCGAGGTGAGGTGTTACACATTACTGGGCTCGGAGCATAGAACACCGAGTTGTTTTATGATTGGATACTCACAAGTGGGATTTAGAGTTCGGCATTCTGACGGCTGAAATACGTTAATGATTAAGATGCACATTTTCTTTGAGTGCTTGTGCCCATATAGTTTGGTGTCGATTCGGCGTGCTTATACTTTTACGAATATAATCACTATGATCAAATCTGACGCCGACGATTTGTGAACTTCATAAAACTAGCAACCTTGCCTTTAGGCTCTAGAACCTGAAGGCCGAGATGTGTTCCTTCCTCGGCCACAGTCATAAGATTAAAAGGTCAGCAGCACGCCCAACGCCACGCAACGCATTCTACTTCCCGGCCGAGCTCGGTTGACGAGTTGGCACGCCCCGCACACAATTGAAGGACGTAGTTAGCTCATTAGTTACTCGGTTTGCGCACTACGTAGGCTTGGTAGTTTTTAGGAACAACAATATGGTATTAGACTTTTAGTTTCTTTCCAACTTGGTGTGCCATAGGATCGGGTATAAAAGTTTATTTTATGGGGTGGTTGCTTACTCCATTTTATAATTTTCGAAGTTGTAATTCTAATAGTTACTGTGTGTGAGGATATGAAGGTAAAAGAGTTTCACATTAATGAGAGGAGAAACTTTGCAAGGGTTTATAAGAGGTTGTGCTACTCCCTATATTGCCAATTAGTTTTATAGTAGAACCTCAACTTTCTTCAGGGTGCCAGAGTAGGTTGTCCCACATTGTCCAACGCTCACACACGCTTCATGTCACCTGAGTTGTGTTGTCCACGCAGACTTGAAAATTCGTCCTATGTGAGAGGGTGTGTTGATAATGAATTAATGAGAGGAGGGACCTTACATGAGTTGTGTTGTCCACGTTTCTACCATGCCGTTTGACCATGGTGATTAAATAAAGGCCCAAAGTGCAGATTTTTCGAATTGACGTTTCTTGACGTTTTGAGTACTTTGAAGGTCAAGATGGCATATTTTGAGGAAGATTCCTTCTGAGGATTTGTTAGGGATGTCTCAAGATTTAAAAAGAGATATTTTGGGACCAAATCGGAGTTGATTTGGTTGGTCAAAAGATGGATTTTATCTGCAGTCTGAATTTTAGTTTAAATAGGAAACCTTTTATTTCCTAGTTATCTTATTCTATTATGTTTCCTAGTTTTTAGAAGACCTTTTCTAGTTAGGGTTTTATTTTGTAGTATATAAATAAGGCTATTTAGCCATTAGGGTAAGAGAAAAGAAGAACGCATTACTTTGGAGAATTCTGATTAGAGAGCTTTTGACGATTCAAATTTATTTTCAAGGTGTTTTCTATCTATGTTCTTAATGATATTTTGTTTTATGATTGTTAGTAACTAATTTCGTTTGTTAGGGTTAGGTCATAAGCCTTAGCAAGAATATGTAGTTTCTTTTCAATTTATTTATGATATTATGCATGCAGTTTTGAATTATTAATCACCGTGTTTAAAACTATCTACTTGTCTTGATGATTGGCCACCATTAGGATATTTAGAAAAGTAATTTGATGCAATTTTGGAGGGGGATTGTCCCTGAAATTGACGAAGGCTTCTTGTGGCTAATATGTGTAAGTTTTTAGGATCGACGACACGTCATAAGGGTTACATGGTTTTTTAAAAAGTTTTCACAAAACTTAATGAGTTTTGCATGTTCACATTCGATCTAGACGCTACAGATGGGTTGTATGTTAAATATATGTTTTATGTTGGAGGTTTCAAGTATGACATGCTTTAGGAAAACCTAACCTTCAAAATATGCATTGAATGGGTAAGTCATAAGTAATTGGAAGAACTACGTATGATTTTTAAGGTGATGGTGGAACCCTAGTGCTCAAATTTATTTTCAAAACTATTTTCTTTTGTTTTCTTTACTTTCTCAATTTATTTAATTGTTTTTAATTAAATTCGTTTTTAATATTTTAGGTCATAAAATCACCTTTTTTCAAACTTTGTTTTCAAATAATTAATTAAGATTTGGTTTTAACATAAATTATTCATTCAATCCCTATGGAGAAAGACCTTGCTAGAGCCAACTATACTACGATAACCTTGCACCTTTGCAAGTATTTTTAAATATTTTTATCCCTACTTTTGTAGGTGGTAAAAATTCTTTCAGCGCATTTGTATGGTTTGCTCCATTGAACTCTGAGGTCACGGGTTTGAAATGGGAAACAACCCCTTTACAAGTGGGTTTGAGGCTGTATACCGTTTATATTCCGAAGACCCTGCAGTTGCAGGAACACTAGAGTGTGGCATCTGGCCTATTGTTTCTTTTGCCAAGTTGGTTGCATGGTTCGTTTCTTCATACATATAATGTGTGTATGTACTGCTCCTTGAATCCTCTTCATTTCAATTTGAAATCGAACTTTGGAGTTGAACCCCCCCAGGGTCCATCGTCTTTCTCTCCTCTTTCTTCCCCAATACTGTTGCTATCTTGACATGACCGTTACATCGAGGAATGCGGATGGGAGGAGGAGAGTTCATGGTTTGACTTGGTGCCAGGATGCTTTTCAGTAGTTCATTGGACCTAACTGGCTATAGACAAACATAGAGGCTAAAACAATAAAGTCCTTTGCTTCACAGATCATTTTTGGTTGTTGTTATATATGTAGCTATGATATTTTTTGGCATCGGTTGTCCTCTCTAGTAGCCAACACTTAGCAGGATAAGACTTTGTTGTTGTTCTCTCATATGCACTAGTGGTATTCTAAGATTCTCTTCGTTGTATGTTTGCTTTCTCTGAAGTTTTCCTTACTCTTGACCTCGCTCAACATAACGTGTGGTTTAGACATATGCTATGGCTTGTTTTGGTGCCAATGGAAAAGTTTGTAGTCCTTTTACATCTCTCTATTTTAGTTATAGAGTTATAATTACAATTATATTAATGTATGTGTGCTTGTCCTTGCGTACTCTCCCCTCCACAATTAGAGCCAGCATGGGCTCCTCAATCTGGTTTAATATATATTCTTTGAATCTATGTTCTGGTTCTTTTCCAGCTGAAATATATTGAAGCAATCCAGCAAAGTTATTTATTTGTTGTTTGCCTGGATGGTTTTTCTCTTGTCTACTATTTGGTTTCGTGCTTTAGTGTCATCTGATTTTGAAATAGATGAACGTGTGCCAAGTGAGCTGAAGAAAGCTATCATGCAAGCTCGAACTGGTAAGAAGCGTACCCAGGCTCAACTTGCTCAAGTATCTATCTATCTCTTGTTGGAATTTTGACAAGGAAGAGAAGAAGAAAAATATAAACTTCGAAACTCAGAAGTCGGCTCCATTGGAGTCCAAATTTGTTTTCCTTCATTTCATGATTGTTGGTGTTTCTTGGAACTCATATAGGCCGGCTCTGTGTTTAGAGTCTAGGTTTGTTTCTAACTCCACAGTTTCTGGTGACAAGCTCTTGACTTGCACACTGTGGTGACAAGCTATGCTTGCACACACATTTTTGCGCTCTCTCTCATATATCCCAACTAAGGCATCTACCCGTGGCCTCTTCC